GGGGGAGGAGGAACCTGAAGCAAAGAAGGCTGCTGCCAATGGCACTGGTAAAAAGGATAAGGTGAAGGCAAAAAAGTCCAAAAAGGGCAGCCCCACTGCAGCTGAAATCCTGTCCTGGTTAGAGGAATTGGTAGATACTCCCAATACTCTGCTATATATTCCAGAAAGGCTGTACAAGAGAAAACACACAGCTGCTAAATCAAAGGTTGAAAAGAAAGAGAAAGTTCTTGCTTTGATCACAAAACCAGTCAGTGGTGACAAGAATGGTAGTACCAGGTGGTTAAGCTTCAAAAAATGCCTAGTTATGGGACTGGGGAGATGGCTCAGTGGAATAAGTGCTTCCCTGGCAAGTGCAAGGGCCTGAGTTCAATCCCTGGTTCTGCCAAACACACACACACACACACACCTAGATACTACCCTACTGAAGAATGCCCCAAAAGCTGTTGAGCCACAGCAAGAAACCCTTCAATCAACAGGTGAGGAAACTTGGAGCTAGTATCACTCCTGGCACCACCAGGTGTCACAGAGGCAAGAAAGTGGTCTTCCTGAAGCAGTTGGCCAGTGGCTTGCTACTTGTGACTGGACCTCTTAGCCTTAATTATGTTCCTCTATGAAGAACACACCAGAAATTTTTCATTGCCATCTCTATAAAACTTAATATCAGCAAAGTGAAAATCCCCAAACACCTCACTGATGCTTACTTGAGGAAGAAGCTTCAGAAACCCAGACACTGGAGGAGGTACCAGATTTCAGAGCAGTGCAAGGGGGACCAGAAAGCAGTGGACTTGGGGCTGGGAGATGGCTCAGTAGAATAAGTGCTACCTGGTAAGTGCAAGGGCCTGAGTTCAATCCCTGGTTCTGCAAAAAAAAAAAAAAAAAGGCAGTGGACTCACAGATTTTAGCAAAAATCAAAGGCGTTCCTCAGCTCCGGCGCTATCAGTGATCCGTTTTTGCTCTAGCAAATGGAATTTATCCTCATAAATTAGTGTTCTAAATTTCTTTTTTTTTTTAATTTTTATTTTATGTGTGTGTGGCCAGCTCAGCCCACCAGGGGGCGGGGCTGGCTGGCATGTGGTGCTGGGGGATTGAACGGTGGTCCCTGTGCTTTGCTAAGCTTGTTCTAAGTAGGTGCTTTAGACCACTGAGCCATCTCTCCAGCCCCAGTGTTCTAAATTTCTTACTAAGAACCTAAGTAAATAACATATATATGAAAGAAATCCAAAAGGTTTGGAGATTAAATTACAGTAAACTGAGTTTTGTTTTTGTTTGTTTTTTTTCAGTACCAGGGATTGAACTCAGGACCCTACGCTTGCCAGGCAAGCACTTATTCTACTGAACTATATCCCTGACCCCAGTAAGCTGAGTTCTGTCCCAAACTCCTCCAGGTAGCTCAGAGACTTTTGCAAAATCAAGGCACCATAACTATGCAGTTCCCTTGGATAAACATCGAAGGCTATTTCATAGCTATCTTGAGACCCATCACAATCTAGACCTACATACTGGCTGGGGAGGGTAAGGAGGGCAATCAGAGTGGTGGACATGAAATCATTTTAACTAGCTATTAATTGCATTCATATTCCAGAAACAGGTCCAGCCACAATATCTTAAATACAGAAGAGTATAAAAGATATGGGTTCAGCAGTTCAGGGCTCAGACAACTGTTCTGTGAAGTCTTCAACAATGCAAGCTCCTCTACGCTGAAAGCTGCCTCATGACCCACTTTAGCCATCTTAGCTCCTTTTCAGAAGGGGAGAAAGACAAAAGGTTAGGCTCCAGCTGTCTCTCATTTAAGGATCCTTTGTGGCGTATTCACCAGAAAATATTATTTATTTATAGTTCACTGTTCAAAATTTAGGTAAAACGCTACCCTTAGTCAAGAGGGAGGCTAGAGCTAGGGTGTAGTGGTACATGTCTGTCATCCCAGCACTCAGAAGGCAGAGGCAGAAGAACTGACACAAATTCAAGACCAGTGTGGTCCACCTAATGAGTTCAAGACCAGCCTGAGCTATGTAGCAAGACTCTTATCTCAGATGGTAGATACATAGATTGATAGGCAGACTAGATAGATAGGGAGACACAGTGATTTAGCTGTGCATATTTTCAGTCTGAAAAATGTAGAATTCCATAACTAAAGGATTTATTTCTTATTTCCATAAGGCAGAATCCTTGAAGAAGGATTTTTTTTTATCTTTTTTTGGCAGTGCCAGGGATTGAACTCAGACCCTAGTGCCTGCCAGGGAAGTACTTATTCCACTGAGCCATCTCCCCAGCCCCCAAGAAGAATCTTTCTATAAGGCATTATTTCTACATGCTTGGACATAAACTCTGATTAATTAAATTATTTCTAGGGCCAGCCAAATAGCTCAACAGACT